TTGTCTGGGGCTCTCTTTGTTTACATTACTGGGAGGGGGATCGCATAATTTATTTGCCAGCGTGTTTTGGCTATTTTTAGAGCAATTTATTTACTCGGCGGCATGTTTTTTGCAAACTATGTACATATTAGGCCGATTCCATTGCCTACCTAAATGGGCAAACAAGTCATTTGTTGTGCAAAATAATGGACAAGACGCGCTAAGCAACTTAATTAATTGGGTAAAAAGACAAAAACTAATGTAATTAAGGCATATCAAAAAATGCGTCACTTGGGGAGAGGGAACGAGAGAGATAAAAAGAGCGAACACACCCACACAAGCTGTGCAAACTTGTATCTGTGTGCGCAGTTCATTCATAAGCAGCAAAGCAAACAACAAAAGCAATTTCCAGCAGCCGGTGTCAGCAAATAGGCAAAGGCAATAACAATAATAACAACAAAGAGCAATGTACAAGGCAGCAAAAAAAAAAACAAAAGGCATTCTCATTCCCATTGAAAATGAGTAAGCAGCACACTCACAGTCGAGTTCGAATTTCGAAAATGGGAGAGTTAACAGCTGGAGGAGAGCGCCAATTGGATGCTGTTAAAATGAACAACAACAGCTGTTGGCCCCAAGATCACTGTCTCGCTCACTCTTAATAGATTGCTTTGTTGTATCTTCAGATAATGTTAAGGTTTTTTTGTTCACAACGTCAAATGTATTTAGCTGTATAGGAAAATTATATTGAAACATATTTTAAGACCATTCACATATTCTTAATAAAAGAAAAATTACACTTACGATCGATGCTTAAAATATCAGCTCTCTCGCTCTCACTCCGCTCTCTCATTACTTAACATTTCTGTTAAGAGAATATCGAATCATTGCACTGCTGTTAGCCAAACCTCAACAACTTCACAGATACTTTTGCGTTTGAATCGACGGGTTCGCGGCTCTCCGGTCGGTTTTCATTTTCCGAAAGATACAAGTACTTCCAAGTGAAATAAAGCAATTACATAAAGTCCAAAGAGTGAAGTGAAAAGTGCGGTGCGGCGTAGCGAATTCCAGTGCGAGAGTTAAGCTAAAGCCAGTTGACAAAAGCGTCACGTTTTCGCTTTCTGCCATTGTATTGCCCACGCACTCACACAAAAACACACCTGGGCTTTAAATACTTGGAATACCACAGAAAGCAACAGAAAGTTGAAATCTTAAAACGCCGCAAAAATATAACCAATCCAGAGAATCCGAAGGTTTGTTCTGCCAGACACACGGGTTTATCAACGCTTATGGTTAGTTTATCATTTGCATTTCTAATGAGACTATCTTCATCTCTCTCCTCTTCTTTCTCTTTGTCGCATGAGCCACCCCCAATTCGCCCACTTTTCGCTTTATTTTGAATCGCAGGCCTCTCCCCAGATAAGATTCGTTTTCATTGTTGCCTATATAAGAAGTGTGCGCCCACAACAGAGGTCATAAATATATTCCTACGAGAGTTGCATTTTATTTTACTTCCATAAAAACCGATTTCTTTCTTTCTTAAGAACAAAAAGAGTTTTTTTTGGGGAAAATAAATTTCAATTGGCTTGATAATAATAGGTAAATGTATCAGTGGATACTAGTTCAATATTATTTAGAGAAACGTTTAAATTCACACCCGTGTAGATACCTATGTTACTTGGTTTAAAAAAAAAGAAGCTTGAGTGTCTTGAGTTAGGATACAAAATTAAGAAGGGACGCAAAATGATGAATGTTGTTTAAACATTTTCTCTAACTCATTGCAATACATACACATATACTTATATTTTGTTTAAGTCATAGACCCAAAACAATTTTCTATTTATTAAAAACATCTGCTTGCGCCATTAATTTGAGAGTATATGTACATTTTCGTAGGCAGGCATACAATCATATTTCTGTACATATAAGGGCTGGTATGATTTATCAACGATTCTCCGAATTTCTGGCACACTTCGGGGAATACCTACGCAGAGGCAAATATTTGTGTCTTTGAATGGAACCCAAAAAAGCCTCTTCGTCATACACTCACATTTGATATCATATTTGCCATATAAGCAGTGCTATCTCCTGAAATGTACATATTTCCCAAGAAACCGATATGCGTGATATTTGCTTGAATTAACTGGGGAGAGTATGAAATACGGGTGGGTACGCCGATACCGAACGAGACTACGTGATATTCTCAAGTGTCTGGGGAATGGATTACGGGTGATTTCACCATAATGGACGCCCCCCAAGAATAACCAAAACGAAACCCTTCGATGGATCTCAATTTTCCATCATGTCCAGCAGACCGTTGCGGTTTCATCGGCTCCAGACTCCAATTACCGCAGACCTGCTAATTAAGTGCCACCCTAGAAGGCGACAAGTTGCAGATCGGTTGGAATTGGGATTGGGATCGGGATTGGGTTGTGCATATAGGGAAATTATATTATGGCCAAGCACAAAAGAGTGGTAACCCGAGCTTAAAGCCATTGCGGATAATTCACTCGTGGGACTTTGTTTGTTTTCTGCTCTCCGCCGCCTCGAAATGCAAACTCAGCTCAATGACTTGGCACTCGGATGGAGAGCGAGCAAGGGAGATGAAGCCAAACCAAAGAGTTGAGCCGAGTCTATAAGTACACAGGGAGAAAATTACAACAATCTTGAGACATTAATTATTTAGTAGAGAGCCCTTTCTTCTGTGACATATCACTTTATGTTTACGAAATAATATTTTGAAAGGCATACTTAGATAAAACAATTAAGATGTTTTCCTTAAGTCTAAAAAAAACTTTAGTAGTTAGAAAATTAATCAGATCTTCTTATTCTAAATATCTTCGATGAAAATAGTTTATAAAGTTCATTGAGAAGCAAAGGACTTACAAATTCTTGAGCTTCAGATAATAATTACATAAATACTAAGTTAAAAGCCCCTGAATGGAAATTAATTAAGTGCCACGGGTTAATATCACGAAATAAAGCAGTGTTTAATAAGCCACTGTGGTTATTATATTGTAGTTATAATAATTTTCCTCAGTGTCCAATGATGAGTTTAATATGAGGAGACAGAAAGAGAGGGTGATGTGGATGTGAACGTACCCACCATGGCGGCACCGGAAAATGTCCAAGTCAGTGTCCAGTGAAGCGGGGAAAAGTGTTCCGCCCCGCACTCCCTTTTCTGTCCAGTGAACGGAACGGAATGTAGATTGCTGGTGCTTTTTTTTTCGGTGTATGCTTTGCTGTGTGATTAAATAGTGGTTGTACGGTTAGCTTGGCCAAATTCGGTTGCTTTGCCCCTTTGCTTCCATTCGATTTCGCATTTGCAGCTTGGAGCCGACAATCTGTGAATTAGCCGTCATTTATTTATTTTAATTATTTTCTTTGCCAAATTGCTCACTTCCTACTTACCGCCTGTGGACCCCCTCCCTCCCTCCCTCCCCCGCAGTCATCGCCCATTGTTTGGCAATCAGCGTTGATTTATGTTCGCCTCTCTGCTTTTACTCGTTTATTTTGATGAGTGTTTGTCAGCTTGTTTGCACCGCCTGGAGAATTTGAGAAATTTTAGGCCCCTTTCCAAGAAAAAACAAAGCCAAACTCAAGTGCAGTTTGAGTCGTTTTTTAAGTGATTTCTGTTCTTTGACCCATTTATTTTAATTTTTTTAACAGAGCGATAAACATTGAGTACTTTGGTTTTATCATGCTGCTTTGTGTATATATTTATACACTTCTATATCTTTTGCATTTCTTATGGCGTCACAAGAATATTTCTTAAGATGATGAAATTACACTTCATTGAACCTCTTGACCATAAAACTATGAGAATATTTTATAGGAGTTACACACATGATGGCAAAAAAGCCATTTCATCTCAATCCGCTCAATTGGTGGCATGTGTCGAACCAATTTATAAATTATATAAACGAACTTGCCGTGCTCGATACAAATTGGTTTCTATTAATGAACACAAATGAATGAAAATTGTTGGTCCCCTGTTAAGTTCGTATGGGGAGTAAGCTGAAACCAACCGGAAATGTTGAAAATTTCTCTTTTATCTATAACAATCAGCGCCAAGCCGACAAAACAAATGTATTTTAGTGTTTTTTTTTTTTTTGAGCTGGGAGTGAGTTATGGTTTCTGCGAAACTTGAGATCTGAATAGAATGACGGGCTTAGGAGTGGAATTCATTAATCTCTAGCCATAAGGAGATGGTGCACAAAAGCTGTCGTTAAACGAAAAGTCGGTGGGAAATGCACAAATACAATGACCAGTAAGGGACTAGAGATTCTCCGTCTGTTTGAGCAGCGATTATCGTAGCTCCAAGTGCAGTAAATAGAAGGGAATGGGGCATCGCCATCATCATCATCAGCATAGGGGAACTCAATTCAACTCGACTTGAAGCAACTCCCATGGAAACACTCCAGAATGTCTTAACACACAATTGGGAAACATAGTTTTCGAAGGGGAACCGCCGGACCATGCGTCACAAAAACAAATTTATGAGTTGACTTGAGGTTATCGTGCCCGTCTGACCATGATAATGACGGTCTCCTCTGGATACCCGCAATTTGTAGTTGTGAATGGCCCATGAATCGACGTCTTGTTTCTATTCTTTTTGGTACTTGCACTTGCAACAAGTTCATTTTAATTGAAACACAAAGGGCTTATGTAAAATAACAAACATATGTTGTTGGAATATATAATTATTCTCCCAAAAGATTTGAAATGTATATAATAAATAGGAATTTTCATACATCCATGTGTTTCACCATTTAGCAATGGGGGGAGTTTTTATTTGTCAATACATTTTATTTGCGAAAGTGCTTCATACCATTTCGAGTTTTTTTTTTTTAGTCAGACTAGTTTTATTTTATTTCTATTACACACTATTTTACAATATCTTAAACTGTTTTAATTGGATTAAATTTGGGAAAAGTTGTTTAGATGCTATATTGTTATTTGATTAAATAGGTCTGCATTGAGACACCTGCTTATAAAGCCTTTCTTCCTGTTCACTCTTCCAGAACCGCGCTCTGCCCGCCAATGCCTCGCCTTTTCGCCGAGCCTGGGGACAGTCTTCCTTCCGCACTCCCCGCTCAGACAAGGTGGCCAAACAGCAGCAGCAGCAGCAGCAGGGCCAGTCGTCGCCTGTGAGACGCACTGCCTCCATGAACGCCTCCGACAACGACGTGTACATCAAGACGCTGATGATGGACTCGGACATGAAGGGGACGCGCAGTCAGCAGCAGCTGAGCCTGCTGCAGGTGCCCAAGATCCTGACCACGCCGGCCCCGCCCTCCGCCATCACGGTATCCGTTGCTGCAGAGGATGCGGCCCAGGATCACGGCTGTCCCAGTAGCTGGGGTGGCTCCTTCGAGCGGATGCTGCAGGACGCCGCCGGCATGCAGACCTTCTCCGAGTTCCTCAAGAAGGAGTTCTCCGCGGAGAATATCTACTTTTGGACCGCCTGCGAACGTTACCGCCTGCTGGAATCGGAGGCGGAGAGAGTGATGCAGGCCCGTGAGATCTTCGGCAAGCATCTGGCCAACAGCAGCAGTGATCCCGTCAACGTGGACTCGCAGGCACGCAGCCTTACGGAGGAGAAGCTGGCCAGTGCCGCCCCGGACATCTTTGCCCCGGCCCAGAAGCAGATCTTTAATCTGATGAAGTTCGACAGCTACCAGCGCTTCATCCGCTCGGATTTGTACAAGAGCTGCGTGGATGCGGAGCAGAAGAACCAACCGCTGCCCTACAGCGGCATGGATCTGGACGAGCTGCTGAAGACGAATTTTCACTTGGCCGCCTCCTCTAAGGTGAGTGCTTTATCTATACATATCAATGTGAAATACCTACTTTATTGAATATCTTCTCTCATGGCAGCTCAAAAAATCGGCTAGCAATGCAGAGGATCGGCGGCGCAAGAGTCTGCTTCCCTGGCATCGAAAGACGCGGAGTAAGTCCCGTGATCGCGCTGAGATAATGGCTGACCTGCAGCACACGCTGATGCCGGCGCCACCACTTCCGCCACCTGCCCTGCTCACCAGTGCCTCGCTTAAGCTCGTCTGCGGACAGAATTCCCTGAGCGATCTGCACAGCTCTAGGTCATCGTTGTCCTCCTTCGATGCAGGCACAGCGCCCAGTGGACAAGGAGCCAGTGCGGAGAGCGTGTGCTCGCTGTGCCGGGTGATCCTCACCGATGGAGCCACCACTATAGTGCAGACGCGAGCTGGAGAAACAGTTGGCGAATTGGTGGAACGCTTGCTAGAGAAGAGGAACCTAGTGTATCCCTACTACGACATAGTGTTCCAGGGCACCACCAAGTCCATCGACGTGCAGCAGCCGTCGCAAATGCTGGCCGGCAAGGAGGTGCTGATCGAGCGGCGGGTGGCCTTCAAGCTGGACCTCCCCGATCCCAAGGTGATCTCTGTGAAGAGCAAGCCCAAGAAGCAGCTGCACGAGGTGATCCGGCCCATACTCAGCAAATACAACTATAAGATGGAGCAGGTGCAGGTGATCATGAGGGATACCCAGACGCCACTTGACCTCAATCAGCCCGTGACGATGGCGGATGGACAGCGGCTGAGGATCGTGCTGCTCAATTCGGATTTTCAGGTAGGCGGCGGCAATAGCATGCCGCCGAAGCAAAGCAAACCGATGAAACCGCTGCCGCAGGGCCAACTGGATGAGCTGACGAACAAGGTTTTCAACGAGCTGTTGGCCAGCAAGGCGGATGCGGTAGCCACTGAAAAGCCACGGCCCAGCGACCAGTGCTCCATGAAGTCCAACGAGGTGCCCTCGGAGGCGTCGTCCTCGCTGTTCGAACGCATGCGGCGTCAGCAGCGCGATGGCAGCAACATTCCGGGCAGCAAGCTGCCCAAGCTCAAGAAGAAGTCCACAAGCAGTCAGCAGTCCGAGGAGGCGACTACCACGCAGGCGGCCGCGGATCCCAAGAAGCCGATAATAGCCAAGCTGAAGGCTGGAGTGAAGCTGCAGGTGACGGAGCGAGTAGCCGAGCACCAAGGTGGGTAGCCTTGCCGTGCCTGCGCCAGAGAATCCAAACTAACTGCTTTATTTATGCGATTGCAGATGAACTACTCGAGGGCCTGAAACGGGCACAGCTGGCGCGGCTGGAGGATCAGCGTGGCACGGAGATCAACTTCGATCTGCCCGATTTTCTGAAGAACAAGGAGAATCTCAGCGCAGCTGTCTCAAAGCTGCGCAAGGTGCGCGCCAGCTTGAGTCCCGTAAGCAAGGTGCCATCTTCGCCCACGGAGATTCCCCAGCCGGCGCCACGTCTGTCCATCACACGCAGCCAACAGCCGGTGTCGCCCATGAAGGTGGACCAGGAGCTGGAGACTGAGTTGCCTGCCGGGACGAAGGATCAAACGGAATTTGCCAAAGCGCCGCCTCCATTGCCACCCAAGCCAAAGGTGCTGCCCATCAAGCCATCCAACTGGGGCGTGGCTGTGGCCCAACCGACGGGCAACTATTGCAACAAGTTCTCCCCCAGCAAGCAGCTGTTGACATCACCCAAAGAAGCCTCCAAGCCGGCAACGTTTACGAGCAAAATACCACTGGAACTGGGACGCAAGTCTCTGGAGGAGGCGGGCTCTCGGTGTGCTTATCTCGATGAGCCCAGCAGTAGCTTCGTATGATTGAATTGTCTTTACTGATCTTGACTGTATATACATGTGCACTATTTATTGATACTGTTTTATCGTATTCCCTGTTAAATGTCCACTTTTGTATGTAAACTACTGAATGAAACGCCTGTATTTATAAATAGCAACAGTAAGATTTAGCTTTACTACATTTTGTATAAATATACCACAAACATGAAATAACTCTTATGTTTAACTCACTTGGGATGGTTTTATCCTTCAAAAGTAGGTAAATATTTTATAACTGCTACGGCGGTATGAGGCTATCGAATTCGTAGCTATATTTCTAATCAGCATCAAGAGCAAAGTTTAATAGGTCAAGAGTTAAGATTCTCAAAATTTGCAAAAGTATATATTGTTGATACGGGCTTATCAGAGGCTTTCGTTTGAACACGTTTTGTGCTTGGCATTTAGTTGTCAAAAATCTTTGCTCTGGAAATGTCAGTGTTTTCTTTAGCGCTGTTCGCGTTTTTGCTTTTTCACCAGGGATTAGCTTATCTCCTGGATCGAGAATGTGGGGGTCGTATGGAAATAAGCTTTAAAGTTTCTGGTGGTGAAGACGCCCAATATTACTTTACACCCTGGATGGCCAGCATATACGATAGTAAGAGGACTTTTATTGGCGGCGGAACTTTAATCCACAAACGTGAGTACAAGAACATTTACATATAGTAGAATCATATATTATCTTCCATTGCCTTCAGGATTCATTCTAACTGCTGCCCACGTCCTATCTAAAAATCCAAAGTAAGTATTTTTAGGCCGGATGAAGTTATGATCGATGTTAAAATATCTTGGCTTAGAATCGTGCGCTTGGGGGAAAAGGACAGAAGGTGCATAAATACGAAATGCGATAAGGTGACAGAGTATTCGGTGGACAAGGTTATAGCCTATAAACCAGGATCTGATTTATGGCACGGCAATGATATAGCTCTTCTAAGACTGAACGCAAATGTGGAGTACAATGGTAAGTGTGGCGCACATGGGAATTCGTCTGTTCTTTGGATTCAGTGCTCCTAATAATTAATTCACCTGCAGAAGACAGGCTGCCAATTTGCATTATCGTGGATGACGCGGTAAACTTCGCCAATGTAAACAAATTTAGGGCTTTCGGATGGGGTAAAACAAATGGATCCGCAACGCATATGAGCGATATCCTCAAGACCATCAACCTGGTCCGAAAAAACCCGAATGAATGCGAGCAATCCATGGGATTTTTGGCAGGCGATTCGCTGATCTGCGCCGGATCAGAAAATGGCGACACTTGCCAAGGCGACTCCGGGGGTCCACTGGCGGTGGAATATAATTACGAGGGAAATACAAGCTACACTCAGATTGGGATCGTGAGCTTTGGTCCCAACAGTTGTAATAGTAATAGCTTATATACAAATATTTCAATCTACAATCACTGGATAGCTGAAACGGTGCACGCTAACGAGGAGCAGCTCTTATTTGAGAACTGCGGCAGCCATTGGAGTGGTGGCATTGCAGTGCGTCTATGGGAGCTATTCTTTCTTAAGCGCACTGTAGCCGGCACCTTAATCACAGACCGTAAGAACTTATTTTGCCTAATTTCGAGTACATATGACTAAATATTTTTTCGAATCCCCAAGAATTTGCCGTGACTGTTGCTAGTGCGCTCCAAACCAAATTCACTAATATGTAAGTACTCTTTGAACTTGTCTTTTAATATTGATTGAGAGTGATTTTACTTTTAATCAAATTATTTCTAGGCCCGCTTATTAAACTTGAGTTAATGTTTTTATTTTTAGAAAAGCAAAGTCGAGATATTCTGAGTATGATGTTGTTGAGATCATTAAGCACCCTGAGTTCTCTAATTCACCAATAATACAGAATGATATAGCTTTGCTTAAACTAAAGAGAAAGATACAAATATCATGTAAGAAAGTCTCAGTTTTCTCCAATTCTTTGTCATATAAAAAATGTATTTTCTTTAGATCTTGTGAAGCCAATCTGCCTTGCAGTGAACTCCTTTCCTCCAAAAACTTTTACTGCCCTTCTCTATGCTTACGATAGAAAAAAACTGGGTCTTCAAACCAAGCATTTTAACACCATCACATGTTCCTCTACAGTTGATTCCAATCAATTTTGTGTCGACAAACCTCATGATCTAGAATACGATTTACCGGGTTCGGCGTTATTAACTTATAATGAGATCAAGAACGTCAACAATTATCTTCTGATTGGCATTATAAGCCATTTTAGGGATAGTGAGATCGTATTTACAGATATACGAAGCTACGCCGAGTGGATATCGAAAACGGTAAAAATATGATCATTATTGTTACTATAATTCAATTGAAATATAAATAATAAATGTGCTGAAATAAACGAGAAAACAATGAACAACAAACCCATTATAATTTATTTTTTGGAATTACCCAAAAGAAATATAGAAATATATTTCCCTTATCTCTAAAGCTTTGCATGGCCAATAGATAGGTATTTATTACACGCGTCTTAAAATAAATTAAAATTTGTGTATGTATTTGCAATAATTTTAAATATGAGTTCCTGAGAATCGTTGTTTAATAGAACTTCCATTTAAAGATTATTTATTTTAATGTCCCTTACGTAAAACCGGACAAAAGAGTTGTCAAAAAAATGTTATTATATTATTTCATAAATTCGACTATATTTCAAAATTTATGCAATGCAAAGTAAAAACTACATTTAATAATTCCATGATGACTAATATTTCAACGCTGTCGATTAACTTATCTACAAGTTCAAAATAATTAAAGCGGTTAATAGTATACGCTTAAAAAAATAAAATTCGTTCTCTTCTTTTGTATAGTTTTTTTTTTACATATCGGAAAAACAAACTCCTAGGACTAAACAATTTCATTTTCATATCGCTTTGACGTTCTATCTCTTGAGAAATTAAACATTCTACTAAAAATACTAATTAATTATTATCCGATATTCCATTTTTTCTTAATCTTACTTTTACTAGATTTATAAAATAAAAAGAGAAACAAATAAAACAAAAGCAATGTTGTTTAAAATTATAATTTCACTTGTTGGCGACTCAAAAATCATTCGACAACATAAAAGCGCATCCTTCTGAGCCGCCAGGCGGCCCACAAAAAATACAATCAAATGGCCAGGGAAGGTTTCGACCGGCTCTCAACCGGGGTGGCAAGTTGCAGTTGCTCCTTGGACTGTTCGCTGCCCGCCTCCACCTGCTTGGCCTCCTCGCCGCCACTTAGCTCCTTGGGGGGTTCTTCCTCCACATCCTCGATAAGACGATAGGTTATAGGAGCCGGATTCTTGGGCGGTAGCCAGTCGGGAATGATCTTGTCGTGCAGCCGCCACTTGCCGTACTCGTTGGAGATATGCTTTTCGAAGACCACATACTCCAGCACGTCTTTGGTGAGGATCTCGCTGCCGTGCATCAGCCGGCCGAAGCGGTCGTAGATGGCCAGCATCTGTTGGCTGTGGAAGCGCACGGTGACCTGAGCAAACTGGTTTTCTTTGGAGATCACCTCAGTTACACGGGCGTGGACGACGCGCGGTGGCTCCAGCGACTGGAGGAACTTCCAGCGAATGGTCTTGTCCTTGACGTTGTGCATCATCTCCGGATAGCAGCGTTCGCTGACGAACTCGCGAATCTTGTACTTATCCTTGGCGGCCATGTGCGTGTGCGCCTGAATGTAGATATCCTGGGCCTCGGCGCCGAACTCGTCGGAGCTGAAGCTCTCCTCGTAGGAGCGAATCTTGCGTACGGCCATTAGGCTCTTCGACTTTTTCTCGAGGAACTCTAGCTTTTGCTTGGCGCCAGAGGTTGAGATGATTGACTTCTTGCCATCGCCCTCGGGCGGTACATACGCCTCGAAAATGCCACCCGTGCAGCTGATGTGAAATGGGCGTTCCATCCAGGGACGGGGCGGCAAGACACCACGCTCCTTCATCCGGCTACGCATCTCCTCTTTGCTAATATCCTCCTGTTTCTCGCGCAGATTGGGCAAATCCATCTTGACGAACTTCTGCTTGCGTAGGCGCTTGAACTCGGGCTGCCAGTGCTTGGTCTGTCGGTGGCGCACCTGCTGCATCTGGAGAAGATTCTGAAGCGGAGGAGCGAGCCCGCCTAGGCCCCCAGACGTGGCCGCATGCTGGGCGCCGGGCATTACCTAAGATTATCAATGAAAGGCTCGTAAGTGGGGATCTCTTTGACTGCTAGACCAATAACTCACTGACCTGCAACAGTTTAAGACACGTTTTGACCGACATAAGCTTTTCCATCGAACTTTGTTTATTATATAAATAAGGAACTCCTCAATAACAAACCCTTTAAAATTAGCTAACGCGTACCACTGGCAAACGTGATTGCACTCATTCGATAGGTTCGAATAGGTGAGCAAACCGTTATCGAGTAAAGGGAGATTTATTCGATAAAATGCGGGAAAATTTGAAAAATGTTCAGTTTATTGAATAGGTGCAAGAAATCTTTTCTGACGCCATAAAGCATATATGTGAGTATGAGGACATTAAAGTGTAATTATATAGATGTAAAATACTACATTGATTTTAGGCTTATCTAGAATAACCATTTCATTATTTGGCCAGATGATAAATATCTTTGCCCAGATTCGTGAGCTTAAGGTAAAATAATATAATAGTAAATCTTATACCTAGCTATAAAGCTTCCCGACTATTGATACCTGGTTACCAAGAACGATATAGCAATTTTCTTGTAGTATATATAGATATGTATTCTTGATCAGCATACACGGCGGAGTCGAACCATATGAATATCGAGATCTCAGGAACAATTAAAGGTAACAAATCAAGAGTTCCGGTTCAGTAAATGGTTTAATTTGATAAAACTATAGATTTCGATCAATGGCTTTTGGCAATTCGGAAACTATCTGAGCAAAGGGAAAGTAGTTCCGGTTTCAAGGTGGTCCGTTTCAGTTTCAGTTTCCTTCTTCCTCTTCCTCGACCCCATCCACGCAACTTTCGCTGCAGTCGGCTGGCAGATCGTCGAGAAATCGGTAGCCGGCGCTCTTGAACATCTTGGCCTTCATCTGGAGGCCAAACAAGAGGCTTTTACATGCATCCGTCCCAGCAGCTCCCTGCCTATACTCACCATTAGCTGCTGGTACTGGCAGTCGTATGCGTTAATGGCTATGTCCCGCTTCCGCAGCTCATTTCGCAGTACATCGATCTCCATTTGCTGACACTGGGCCCGCTGAACGGCGCATTTGGCGGCCACCAGTTCCTGCTTCATTTGATTGCAGCGGCACTGGATAAGAGGGGCGACGTAATTAAAAGGGTTTACATTTATTTAGCCTGGATGAACTATACTTTTAATATCTCCTCGTTGCCCTTAGCCTTGTCCACCTCGTTCTCGTAGAAACTCTGCATGTCCTGCATCTCGCATTGCAATTGCTGCATGCACTGGTTCTGTTGCTGAAGATTGCCCTCGAGGTTGCAGGTCAGGCACTCCGCCTCGTTAGCCTTCTGCTCCAGCTGGTTGACCTTCTCGCCGAGCTCCTCTAGTTCCTTGCACTTTTTGCGCAGGGCATCGCGATCGGCCAGAATCTTTTGAATGTTGGCGGCATCCTTATCCGGCGAGAAGCTACCCTTACCTGGAGCACCACCTGCTGGGGTTCCAGAACCTCCTCCACCACTGCCATCAGAACCGCACTTTTTGGCGCACCGCTTCATCACATCATCCTCGAATTCGCGCAGAAGGGCCACCTCCTTTCCGAGATCGTCGATCTTCTTCTGCAGATAAGGGATGTCGTTGCTCTTTTCCGGATCGATTGGGATGCTGTCCATCTTGCAGCGCTTTGACTGTTTATCAATCAGCCGCTTCAGATTGGCATTCTCCGCCTCAAGGATGTCGTGGGCCTTGTTCATGTCGTCAATCGCCGCCTGCAGATCGTTTAGCTCCTTCTCGTCCTGCGGACTGATCTTATTAGCATCGGCCAGCTCCTTGATCTTCTTCTTGAGGGCCTTGCTTTTATCTGGGTTATAGCGCTGGTCCATAATCCGCTTAATCTCGTCACTTTCCTGATTGGCTGTCCTCAATTTATCATCGGAGTCGGCCAGTTTTTTCTGCAGCATGTTGTTCTTGATCATCAGATCCTGCATGCGGCCAATTGTGTCGTCGGCGGCATTGATGAGGCTGTCACCCACCACCAAATTACTACCGTACTCATCCTCTGGACCCAATGGATTTCTGGCAGTAAGCTTACCACCTTCGCCACGATCCTTCTTAATTGGTGAATTGCAAGCAACTAGATCAGCCACGAACTGCGACTTCTTGTCTTCGTTTGCCGACCATGATCTGTCGTCGATTGTGGATGGATAGCTCTTTAGTTTAACGCAAGCATCAACGCACTCAAACTCGTACGTCTCGTTACTAAACGGCACGTGAAAAAACTCTTTCTGAGTGGAGAACGCCATTGTTGTTCTTATCGTTCACCAAAAAAAAAAACCAATCTGTTCGTCACGCGAATTTATATAAATGCTTAAGGCTCGGTTCTGAAAGTTCTCAACAAAAAGCAGGTCCGACATGTATCAACTCACAAAAATATGTATTACTAGACAGATACAATTTAAAAATGAATTATCTGTCCCAGTCATGGCTGCTGGCAGGTGGAACTACGCCTGCTCAATTACAACTAGTTAACAATTCTGGGAGCAGTGCAAATTATTCGAGGCCCTGGGCCCTCCGCTCCGCCAGCGATTCATCTGCAGAATTCATAGAAGAGAAGCCACACGGCTGCATCGTCATGCTGGCTGTGCCAGAACTAATTGTGCGTAGGGCACTTGAGTAACCGGAGAGCTCTGACAGAGGGGCGTTCACCAGGATCATCTACAAAAAGGGGTTTATTAATGAAAAGACGGCAGTAACCAAGCACTTACCTTGTTTCTATCACCCTTTGGTAAGACGTCATTAATAAGAGCTCGTCGCCGTGAGAGATCGGCTATAATGCCGGAGATGCGTTCACTAGGTGCCACAATTTGCAGAGCCATAATGGGTTCCAATAGGCGGGTTCCACTCGTGCTCAGCAGCTGTAATGTCATAAATATTTTTTGTAAAGCACATCAAATAATTATAATTTATCTTACTTTTTGGACACACTGAGCTGCCGTAGCCATGACAAAGGAGTCAGCGGTGCCACGCCCAATAGTGGCATTGTGCAGGCGAATCTGAGTCTCCACAACCAGGCCACCAACACGAGGTCCACGTTCTAGGGCACTGATTGAGCCCTTCCGCAGAACCTGAAGGATCCGTGGTCTAAGCGCGTTCAGGCTTGGTAAGTTCTCTGGTGACTTATCTAAGCTTTGGTAAAAACAACAGGTTATCATATCAGTCTTCCAGGAAAAATCTTTAGTTTCTATCTCACCTAAACAGCTCAGTTTGATCCTTGACCACCTCCAATGTGATACTGACGTTCTGCTTGCTTCCAGCGATTTCCTTTTCCACACTAAGCGTTGTCAACGCTGGTGACTCAATGGTTTCCTTGTAGGCAATCTGCAGGGGCCCCAGATCAACGTCGATTTTATACTCGCTCAGGATGCGTGACTTGATGATGTCCATGTGCAGTTCGCCCATCCCTCCGAGCACAGTTTGCCCGGTGACGGAATCGTAGCTGACACGCAGGCTAGGATCCTCCCGTTGCAGCTGCCGAAGAGCTTGCTCCATGGCCGTTTGCGAGGATACGCTGGGGGGTTCGATGGAACAGAAGTAGACAGCATCTGGTATCTGGGGATCAATGGCAAACAGTTCATCTGATTGATCTGATTCATCGTCTTCCTCATCTTTTGTTGGATGTGCACCCAGGCTTTGCTTTAAACGCTTCTGGGCATTCTTCAGTGCTGACTGGCTTGAGGTCAGCAGATCTCCCGTGACTGTGGACTAAATTTTCATTAACAGCGAGTTAAGTAGGGGATCTAGGTATAACTTACCTTCAGACCTGCACATATGACCACATCTCCCGACTGGACAGCGCTGACCTCTCGATATTCGTCTGCCAATGGCTCATATAGCTTGGACACCACTTCCGCCTGGCCGCGAGCCGATATGAGACGCATTCCCCGCTTTATCTCACCTCTTAGAATCCTAACCAGGGTCAATGGACCACGTTGTTTGTCATGCACAATTTTAAACACCTTGCCGGCCACCTCTGTTCTGTAACATATTTGAATTAGGTTTAGAGACGGATTTCTACACACGGGATTACCACCTACCCAAAGCAGTCATAGATTTGGTTGCGTTCCTCCGGAGCAGGGAGATAGGAATTCACGGCGTCCATAAGTCGCTGAATGCCAACGTTTTTGTAGGCGGAGCCCAGCAGCACGGGCACCACTTTCTGCTGACTAGTTGCCCGTCGAAGAGCTCTCTCAATAAGTGCATTATCCACTTTGTCAAAGCTCTCCGTGCTGATAACCACATCGGCCAGTTCGTCGTCCAGTCCCGACAGCTGATCAATCAGTTCGTTACGCTTTTCCTGCAGCTGGCGCAGGATATCTGAGGGCTCCAGTTTGATATTCTTGTAGCTTCGCCCCAGATCCTTTTGCTGCCAGCTGAGCTGCTCAAGGGTGATTACATCGTTGATGGCTAAATGTTGTAGATTTTTGAATTACTAAACTCTTGGAGAGTTCTTAAATTAAGCCAATACCCAATAGTCCATGTTCGTTTTTTACCGGATACTGTAGGCAAACTGGCTGCGTTTCCAGTTTATCCTTGAGGTCCGTGACGCACTTTTCAAAATCTGCATCGGGACGATCCATTTTATTGATGAATATGAGTCGTGGCAGCTTGTGCTTGTCGGCCTGCGTCCACACGGTGACTGTTTGGGCCTCCACGCCAGCTGTGCCATCCAGAACCACGACGACACCATCAACGGCATACAGCGATTGCTCCACCTCCATGGTGAAGTCGATGTGGCCGGGCGTGTCCAACAGGTTGATGCTACGGTGAAGGGAATTAGATAGGAAAAGGGGGATGATTGAATAGGTCACCCTACCGGTGCCCATTCCAGGGAAACGTGACCGCCGAACTGCAGATGGTGATGCCTCGCTCCCGCTCTTGGGTTAGGTAATCGGTCACCGTATTGCCGCGATGCACTTCACCCATGGCCCGGGTTTTGCCTGCATAGAACAGCATGCGCTCCGTTGTCGTTGTTTTGCCTGTAATGGGTTTAATTACTAAGTAATCCTCAGAGCAATAGCCTATTTTCTTCTTGCAGCTCACCTGCATCGATATGCGCCAATATTCCTATGTTTCTGATCTTACTGGTATAACTACGCCTCCAGATTTGATTTGGCAGCTGCCAGAGGAACCTGTTGCTTTGTCCCGAACCAATTTGCAAAGCATATTTAAGCATTTTCATTGAATAATTAAATTGATGTACATGAAAGAACTCAGCAAAATAAAACCGGCAATCCAACAGCTGTTTGCCAGATATCGTTATCGATAAGTGCAGCACACAGCTGATGCGGCCAATCAAATATTTAAGATTTTGCGGCTTGATTTAAGGCACGCCAAATTTAATCGTTTTAAGAATAAAAGGAATTCAAAGGAAAAGTGCGCGTTTTACTTAAATTTGCATGCTTTTTGAACTTTTGTTTAACTAGTTTGTGGATTAATTTTTAAAATGTCTACTCGACCTCGACGCGCTGCATCTACTAAAAAGTTGGTAATTGAGCTCTCCGACTCGGATGAGGAACTGAATTCTACGGAAAACGATGATTATAGGCCTCCGGAAACAAAGAGCCGCAGGATAGATCGAGCTGCCAATTTCCTCGCAGACGGGTAAGTGGTTCCCCCTAGTTTTCCCTGTAAGGATACTTTCACACCCTAATCCCTTGCAGAACCAAGCGCCAGCGGTGGCCCACATCCAAAAAGGCAACTACTGAGGCAGCAGCGTCAAAGAGAACGCGCGCCAGGAAAGAAAAGGAGGACGAAAATGCTTGTCCCAATGAGACGAATACGGAGCCGGAGGTCATGGCACCACCTCCATCTATAACCCAATCCAGCGCCACCACTGAAAGGAGTTCCGAAGCACAAGCTCCCAAGAGAAAGCGTGCTAGAAAGGAACAAGAGAAGGAATATGCGGGTCCCAGCGAGACCAATCAAGAGTCGGAGGTGCATGACCCGCCTCCAACTATGACCCAATCAGATGTAACTGTAGCAAGCTCCACCACTGGACGGAGCTCCTTCTGGGAGCGGCGCAAAGTGTGGAACATCCATGAGCTCCTGGCCGAAACGGAGAATATCCAACCGCAGGCAGCGAGGAATATTGTGCAGCTCTTTGAGAACGAAAATACAATACCTTTTATCTGCCGGTATGCCTCATTATTTAAATATATTTGCTCAACCTAACAATCGATGCATGCTCTTAGCTACCGACGAGATCTAGTGGATCACATAGCTCCAGATCGCCTGAGAGACATTCGCAACACTTACACGGAGATCGTGGATCTGCGCAAGAGGGCCGAAAACATTGTCAGTCAGTTGGAGCGCGAAAATGTCCTGAATACGGAGATTCGGGAAGAGTTGATGTGCGCCAAGACCAACGAGGAACTGGAGTTCCTGTACGCCCCTTACAAGCCGGCGAGTAAGGGCACTTTGGCGGAGCGGGCCAAGGCTTTGGGACTGGAGGAATATGCCGATCGTTTGCTTTATGGCTCGGCTCCCAAAGTAAACCTCTTTGAAATTGTCGATCCCGGCAATGATGCCTTGGCCACGGAAGCACTCGTAATGAGTGGAATCTGCAACATCATTCTACATAACATCAGCAAAAACACAAATGTTTTGGAAGAGATTCGGAGACTGTAAGCATATTGTTTTAAAATATTTTCATATCTAGTTAATTTTAAACACTGCTATGAAAACAGCAACATATTTTTGATCAATATTATCCCATTCCAGACAAAATGTGCATCGGGTATTCCTCAAGTGCAGCAAGACCAAGGAGTCCAAGTCCTCGAAAGCTAGTACAAGTAAAGCAAGCAGTAGCAGAGGAACCAGCGGCATCGCAGACAAAAAATTGGACAGCTCAAAGTTCGAAAACTACTTCAACTTTCAGGGTGATATTAAAACCATAAAACCTCATCAAATGTTGGCCATCAATCGAGGGGAGGCCCACAAATTTCTGAGTGTCAAATTAGAGACAAACGATTACCTTAAACGAGATCTTATGCGCTTCATAACCGACCAGTATATGAACGAAGGTCTGCAGTATCCTCTAAGAAGGGAGATATTTACAAAATCCCTTGACGAGTGCTTCTCCAAGAAATGTAAGAATAACTTATTTAAAACTCTTATATTTAGCTAATCAAAGACCAATTGCAGTGCAACCCTTGATGTGCAGACAAATACGCGCCGATCTAAAGGAGAAGGCCCAAAAAGCTGCCATCGATGTGTTTGCTAAGAACCTCAAGCAACTGCTGCTAATGTCCCCTCTTAAAGGAGAGCGCATTCTGGGCATCGATCCTGGTTACACAAATGGCTGCAAACTGGCGGTTATATCTGAAACGGCTGATGTCCTGGACACGGGCGTTATTTACCCCCATGGTGCAAGGTCCAATAAGCGGGCTGCAGAGCAAAAGCTGGTTCAGTTTCTTTCAGATCACAAGTATATTACATTTAATATTTAAGTTAAAAACTTTTTACTTATTTTGTCCTCGATTTTAAAGCTGCCAAATTATTGCCCTCGGCAATGGAACTGCCTGCCGGGAAACCGAGCACTGGCTGACTGACATGTTTCATGCGGGCATCCTGGACAGCAGAAGCATTCGCTACAGCATCGTTAACGAGAATGGTGCTTCCGTTTACTCTTGCAGCGACGTGGCCACCAAGGAATTTCCCAAAATGGATACAAACGAAAGGAGTGCAGGTTTGGTCTTAACATAAAATCAAATATGAAGATTATCGATGTAAATCCCTTTAATATTATCTTTAGTATCTATAGCGCGTCGTCTAAACGATCCGCTGAGTGAGTATGTGAAGATAGAACCGCGACATTTGGGTGTGGGCATGTACCAGCACGATGTGTCCGAGAAGACTCTCACAGAATCGCTGAAGGACGTCGTCTCTGAATGCGTCAGTTATGTGGGCGTGGACCTCAACACCGCCAGTCTCAGTGTGCTCAAGTAGGTCAAGAGTCTTATATGTGATATATTATTTAAATTCCCTCTTATCCAGACACATTGCTGGTCTGTCGGAGAAGAAGGCCGAGAAGATCATTGAGTATCGGACGCAGAAGGGACCCTTTCAGACCCGCAAGGATCTGCTTTCGGTGCGAACCATAGGCGAAAAATCATTTGTTCAGTGCGCCGGTTTTGTGCGCATTGAACCATTGAGCACGGGAGGAAGACTACAGAACCCTTTGGACTGCACCTGGGTTCACCCTGAGAGCTATAAAGTGGCGGAAAGGTAAGTTTAAATCAAAACTAGCTTTATATTTTACAAACGATTATTGATGACACGATCCTTGATAATAAGGACATTTACTCTGCTTGCTCTGCTGCAATCCTTGCCTTCTGCTCCGCCGCTTCCACTAGCATAGAGGTGTCACTTAATTTATTGACTAAGTCACTGTCGCTCGAGATATTGCCTGCGAAGTTTTTGGGGCAATCATCATCGAACTTTCTAATTTTATTCACATCCTCGCTGGATTCAGAGTGGTGGCACCAGCATGGCAGATACGGCTTTAAGGGATCCTTCTTGTCGCACCGCTTGCAAGTGCAGTTTTCCATGCCGGCTTTCATGAAGCTCTTAAAGTCGCACTCCTGGCTCAACAGCGCCAAATAGTCCTCGATGGAGTGCTCCTTCATAGGGTCCATCAGTTCCGCCCAGGTTTTTAGCTTGACGATCACACCAAAGAAGTATCTGTTTAGGTCTTCGACCATCTGTAGAACTGAGTCTAGATCTTTTAAGAAAGGACTCTTCAGAGATCGGTCCAGCCTAGTCAGACGCAGATCCAACTCCTTCTTGGACTCACGCATATCCAGAAACAATTTGGTCAAATCAGAGCTAAAGTGTTAAAAATATGCAATTACAGTTGTATTGGATTACAGGTGAACCTACTTGGACTGATTGACGAGGTTGTAGGCCCTCTGAAACTCGCAGAGTTCCCGCTCCTCGGTCATCCGGCTGAGGTACTCCGGATAGATCTTAGTGCATCCGGTGGCGCCGACTAAAATGCGATAGCGCACCCCGTGGTATCGCATCTCCTTAACCTTTTCGATCTGCAAAGGCTTAGCCTTCGCAAGTTGTTTTTTGAGCTTCTTCAATTTCTGGTCAACGATTAGGATTTGCTCGTGCACGCATCGCTCCAGCTTAAAATCGTAGCGGGTATAGATGTTCTCACAATGCTTGAAGGTCGGCTTTAGCAGATGGATGGGAATGGTCGATCCCCGGCATGGCGGCGGAAGGGGACGACGCTTATACCGCTCCGGGGGATACTCCCAGCACACTCCAAATTGAGCTTGTTGAGGCACTTTAAGAGGATGCTCCCAGCACGGTGTGTACACCGTCGGGTCTTGGTAGCGATAATACGGCACCTCACCACAGGCAACAACCTTCACCTTGCCCGGTGGCAGCTTTGGAGGATAATGCCATCGCTCTTCGTATTGTCGTTTTAAATCGGCGAGCATAACGATAATTGTAAATTTTAAATCTAAAATTTGAAGTCTAAATACTGTTTGTGCTTTCAGTATCGTGGGAGAATGTGACTTGAAACTGACGGACATTGGCAAGGCCGGCTTTATAGCCCGCATCAAGGAGTTTGCCGCGTCCCAATCTAAACTCGATCGCATAGCCAAACAACACAAATTGCCCATGGAGCGGGTAAGTAATACTTATATCTTATATCCGTTTATCCTTTATATCCAATAAATCTTTAATATAATTATTTAGTTTGTATAAAAATGGTAAAAACGGAATTTTCTTTTCAGCTGGAATTCCTCTTAGTTGCCCTGCAGCGCGAATTGCTTCAGGATTATCGAGCTGATCTCGACAAGAGGCCACTTTTTAAACAAGGCCTAACACGGTTGGATGATCTCAGCATAGGCGAAGTGGTTACGGGTAGGTGGACACTTTTAGATTATGTCACATACGGAACTTATTGCCACTGTTTTACAAAATTCAGGTGCCGTCACCAACGTAACGCAGTTCGGCGCCTTCGTAGATGTCGGAGTGGAACGCGATGGCCTAATACACAAGAGCCACATGAACAACAGCGAGCTGAGCATCGGCGATCGCATAGTGGCATCGGTGGTAAAGTTGGATCTTCAGCGTCGCCAGTTGGGATTACGTTTGGAAAACATGCTGGTGGAGACGGACACGTCGTTTACTTTCAAGACGGAGGAGGATTAAAGACAAACTGCGGGGGCTTTATGCTTTCGGAAGTATTTAATGATTCATATCGTAATTGTTTGGTTGCTCACATGAGCATTCATATATACTATATATAGTTCATATATATACGTGTATATGCATAGTATAACGGCTTTCCTAAATTTAATCAAAGCTTATCAGTTAGTAATAAATGTTCACATAAAAATCACCGTCTTCACGTTCGTCATCTTGTTTCCCTTTTCGCCATTTGCTTGCAATTTTTCTTTAACGAATGTTCGTGAGAATTGTAATCGAAAGGGTTATTGCTTTAAAAACTAAGTGATGCACTCGTCGTAAGCCAGTTAAAATGTTTGACCAAATAAATATACAATATGCATACATTTAGGCGATTGGTTTGCAGACAAGTTGCTTTCACTTTTCAGTTAGTTTGTTTTTTGAATTTATTGCCGTTTCAGTAGAATTGTTAAAAATTATTATAAACAATGTTATATAATCTGCATTTACATAATTACACAATACAATAATTATAATATATTCAAAAATATATGATGTATTTAAATTTATTGTTTCCTCCTTCTCTCTTTATCCCGTAATCGATATCAATTTCATATTCTAGCTACATGGACATGTCGCGTAATCAACCGATAATTGTTTAAATAAATATATTGATCCGTACATAATATTGGAGTAAGTGTACCTACACAGATAATGTGATAATGTATCGCAAAAGACCAAAAACAAGTCGTACATGGTATGGTAGTAATTGCTTAGGTTAATGCTAATGCTCTTGTTTCGTTTTCTCATTGTGTTACGGTTTCTGCCGATGTTCCATCTTCTGGTTGCGTAGAGATATTGTTCAATAATTTATAATTTATTTTTATCATTTATAATGATAGCATAGGTAATGATGTAAGTATTGTTTATCAACTCTTGTAATAATAAGTCTATGTGTATAAGCAGTTTTCATTCTCGTTCCTAAACAGTCGTCCAGCAGAATCTTTGGCGAAGCAAAAATGAACAATAATTCAAATTCGAATCGAATAGACTGTATAGCTTTAAATCAGATGAAACCGATATCGAGAGCACTATTTTTGATAAGTCATTTTATACTTATGAAATCAAATGCTCGAATTCGAGATAATCCTTTTGATTGACGTGATAACGCCGATATCTTCTGGAGAACGACCTTCAAACGTAAAACTCTCCCTCGTTAATTATCGTGTTGGTAGTCTAATTATCTCAAATGATCTCCTCTTAACCCCCGGAGTGGGGTTCAAGTAATTGAATGTGTACAGATTCCGAATTTCTTCAGTGGCAGACACGGCACAGCCGCAGCGCTTGAGTGTAAGTGGGTGGGTGAGTGGTGCTGAGTATGCGAGTGGGGTGTGTGGTTCTGTAGTCTGTGTTTCCGGCGATGGCAGCCTGGCATTTCGGAGTATTCTATTCAAATTCATTCATTCGCCTGCTTCTCTGGTGGGGAGAGAAAAGATAGTTACATGCATAAGTCGTCGAATTGAATGGTAATTGCAATCTAGGCGTGGCACTTACCGATGGCCAGGAGGCGGGGATTGGTGGTGAAGGTGTGAGTGTTGGTATGCGAGTTTTGAAATGATCGAAATCAAGAGCGAAACAAAACGTAATTATTTCTTTTTCTTCTCTTTTCTGCAAGTGTAGAACGATAAGCGAGGTTAGCAATCGTGATTGGAAACTTAAAAACGGAGTGTCAGATGGTGGATATTCGTTTGGGTTCGCACTAAGCCAAGCTAGACACTGAAGAGTTAACAATTAACATTGAGATTTGGCCTCGGCCTGCTCACATTTAAGACAGGCGGTGGTCAGGGGCATTTTACAAGGAGCACCTCATGGAGCGGATCACTAGCCTCCGGGAAGTGGTGCTTCGAGTGCTGTGTGGCTGGTGCTAAATCTTGGCAAGAGACTAAGTTGGTTAATGGCTTTTCGAATGGATCAAGTGCCGCCAGAGTGGGCTACAGCAGCAGAAGACATCGAACCATCTGTAAGATTGAAGAATTCTTCCATTTGGGTTTTGCTTTTCACTGTTTTTCGACTTGCAATTGGGTAGAACGCATTAACGCAAACGGAATGGCAACGGGTAACGAGTAACGGCAACTGCTTTGGGTTCACGTAGGGGTCGGGGTCACCAAATGTCGTCGGGTTAGCATGAGTCTTATATGTTACAATCAATGTAGCCAGCAATTAGTGTGGTTTGAGTGGGTGTGGGATGAGTCCCGGGCTTAATTAATTGATTTTGTCTACTTAAAATTGTATCTCGTATCTGCTGGGATGTGTGCGGGTATTGTAAAACTTGAATAATGCAATTTTTTTGTTTGTGAGTATGTTGTTTGCATGTATATTTGGAATGCCTCTAGCTTAGATTTAAACGTAAACGTTTGCTACTAATGAACCACATTTGTGTTTTCTACATTTCTTCGTTTAATTTCGTTTCTAAATATATTTTCGGTATGTATAAGTACATATAACGCCAAAACTTTAGATTGCTACAAGTGCTACAAAAAACTGTTTTCTATTCTATTCCAATCTTGACTTTAAATCTTTTTAAACGGGTGAACGTTTTGCTTTCTAAATTCCTAATTATCGATTTCGAATTGTTCATTGAGTTTTCACAGCATGTTGTGTGGTTTTTTGTGGTTGCTTCCAAAATAAAACCATTATTCACATAAAAACTAATTACATTAGGGGTCTCCGTCTCCGTTTCCTCGTGGTTTTAATTGCCTACGCGCAACACTTAAGTCTGGATTCTGTTATTGTTATACGTATCGTAGTTAAAACTATTCAAAATTATTCAAAAGCTTGTACTTGTGGGAATGTCTCAATTATGATTCGGGCAAAATGCAAAACAAAACAAAAACACACACGAAATATATTTACACAAAGAAAGGATTAGGTTATAACAGTGATAACAGCACAGTAATGCCAGCAACACAACAGAACACCGCAGCAAACGGAGTCCCAGAACAGCTTGTGCCAACCCTTGTTGGTCGACACCGAGATCCGGGGTAAACTGCGGATCAAACAACACAACATTGAGGGAATTTCGGAAAAGCTAAACACAAAAAAACAACGAAAGCGGAAAAAAATACAAGGGAACATATAGCAAAGGATAAGAACAGAACATAACGAATGGATCGGAGCGATCGCTTAAACCACACAAGCTGAGAAAACTCCCATTACGCGTCAGCCAATGTCCTGCTGCATATTGCTGGAGGACGAGGAGCTGCTGCCGCTAGGGCGTTGCTGCTGACTGTACCTGTTCGTTGGCTGTTGCTGCTGCTGCTGCTCCTTCTGGTTAATACTTTGCGGCGTGGGTGGCGTGCAGGTGGTGGTGTTGCCCACTGGGAATGTGTCGGCCTCTTCCTCGTGCGCCGCTGGAGCCGGCTGCAGAGCCTGCAGCTCCAGCTGCTGTTGATCCGCCAGCATCTTGGCGCTCAGGATGCTTACATAGGTGCGGTAGCGACGCAGCTATAGGAAGTACAAATGGTTAAACTAAAGGTCGTTTCCACTCGAAAGGCATAAAGTTAAGACTTACTTCGTACTGCAAATAGCTCTCCTTTTCTTTGTAGTTCTGCAAAGGTAAGCCTTTGCTGGGAATCGGACCCTTCTTGTGCTCGTTGAGCTCCTGGTCTAACTGGGCCAACTGAACCTCGTGCGACTCCAACTGCTCCTTCTGTGAAAAAGGTAATATTAGCAATCGTACATAAAACAACTACCTATCTCTACTCACCAGCATCAGCTTCGACTGTTTGCTGGGCAGGAGCGGACGCTGGAACCGCTTTTGGCTGCCAACACCGCCCTCAAGCGGAGGCGCTGATATAGCGGCGCACACATAATTGATCGTCTCAACCCACGATTGCAGCTCCTTGGAGTCGCTGGTCTGGAACAGATACTCGGCCTGGTCGGACGTCTGCAGGCGGAACACATGTTGCTTCTTGGTGTAGTCGTTGGCCTTGGTAGCCAGTGCGTGATGTATGCGTATTGCATTGTGCAGATTGTCGGACATCTGTGGGTAGAGTTGGATATTATGGATTACTTATAGGATTGTTTTATATTATAAGCTAGAACTCACTTGACTCTTGCGAAAACCGTGCTCATCCTTATGCAGATACAGCACAAGATCACGCAGCGTACAGTAAAACATCTTCCAGGAACGCTTGCCAAAAGGAGCTGTACATACAAAGATTGAGAAATAATATAATCCCTTAAGGAACTCTTGAAATATTTTACTTTTCTTAAAGCTGCTGTCATAGCAGCATTTTCGCATCACGTAGCCCTTTTTGTACTCCACAGCCGTGGCCAATTCCGGGGGATCGAGGAATGGATTCTGACCCACATTACACAGGGCACTGTTGTTGGCTCTTTGCTGCTGCAGATCGCCAGCCTCTTCATCTCTGAGGGAATAAATCGTAGTTAAAATATGTAAGTAAACCAAATCCTTTTATTTAACTAACAGCGCCCATTCCAGCGGCTTTGTTTTAATGGCCTGGTACAGAGACTTGAGCACATCCTTGGGAAAGTTCTCGCCATCGTTGAGATCTGCCAGGTTGTCAACAAATTCCGCACAGCTCATTTTGCGATTCATATTCTGGCCGTGCAGATCCGTGTTCAGCAGCATTATGGCACAAGTCAGCGTGTGTACGGCGTCCTGCGAGTTGAAGGTGCCAGGATTGCAGTCGAGGAAGCGCTTGGAAAAGTGCACCAGCACCCGCTCCCGTTCCTGCGTTTCGCCGGAGAGCGAAAACTGTTGCAGAAACTCACGCAGCGCTTGGTCCAGTGACTTCTTCTCAAACGTGAAATGCTTGAGATACTCGTCGGCCACCGCGCGACTAAAATCGTTGCTGTGAATGGAAGGCAAGTTTAGTTTTGGCAGTTTAGTTACGGCATCTACTCACTTTTTGCTGAGGTGTCGCGACACATCGCTCTTCTTGAAACCGTCGAGGGAGTACAGTCTTTTGGCCAGGCGAATAGCCGAGGGCATGTCCACGGCCTTGGGAGAGTAGTGATAGGAGTGGAGGGACTCCACATCGCTGCCATCATCGGAGACGGGCGGCGAGGCGTCCCGCAGACCGATGGCCATCGTGCCCAGCGGCTCGTCCGTCAGTGTGACCACATCCTCCTCGGAGCGGCCACCACCGCTGCTGTTACTGTCCAGGCCGCGCACTTGGATGACCACCTTGTGCTCGGACTGGTCCCGCTCCCGGTCCCGCTCCCTGTCCCTGTCCCTCTGCTGTTGCTGCTGGGCGCGTAACTGCTGCTTGAGCTGCTGGCGCTGCAGGGCGGCCGCGTCCGAGACGAGGATGGTGGAGTCCGAGTCACTGGGATCGCTAAGTACCATGCCGCCTAGAATATCGCGAGAACTCAATAAGTTATCGTCGTCTTGGTAGTCGGGACTAGATATATTCGAAATGGCCTCTGAGACGCTCTGATCGTTGTTGCCACCACCACCACCAACACCTCCACCACCACCATTGTTCCCGGGCCCGCCACCTGGGCAGCTTAGCAGACCGGGAATCCCGCTGGGCGGCTGTGCGACCTGGCCGCCCTGTTCCCGCTGCTGCTGTTGCTGCATGGCGGCCATGGGACCATTGCTGCTGCTGCCCAGGCCCAGGGCGCCCTTCGAGCCCGACGACGACATCACCGACGAGGACACCGACGTGGGCGAGGCCGGACTGCCCACAGCCGAGTGCTGGGGCGACGAACTAATGGAACTTGAATGTGAATTTGAATGCGATTGCTGACCGTAGAGTTGCTGCTGCTGCTGATGTTGCTGCTGCTGCTGCTGATGTTGCTGCTGTTGCTGTTGGAATTGCTGCTCTTGCTGCTGCTGCTGTCGCTGGAGGGCCGCCAGCTGGTGCGGCTGGAGTGGGGCATTATAGGTCCACACGATCCGATCGCGATCCGATGCCTAGGATTTGCAACAAACCAGAGATTAGTAATGCAAAAAAACAAGGGTTTTATCATTAATTGATATTTATGCTCTATGGATTTTTTGTCAGATCTCGAATTTCCATTTGCCGTTGCCCAATCTCTCTGAGGAGTCTTAAACAATTTTCCCGAGTGCTGAAAGCGTTCGGTAGGTGTCTGTTTTGTGTGAGTGTCAGAAACTTTGGTGTTATGCATTTGGTTCGTGTGTTGTGGTGTATGTACGTTATGGGCAAGCGTTTGGTGTCGAGAGGTTCTCATCTTCTACATACAAAACTTTTCCAAGCGCAGGCAACAAATCAAAAGTGGCAAAATCGAAACGAAATCGAAATCAAAAGTCACATTAATCAGCATGCCAACTATGCAAATGGCAACCTTTTTGCATAAAATATAGTTTAATTTGCTGCTGCAGTTCATCGTTCTCGCCGCTGTTGCTGCAGTCGTGGGCGTTGCAGTTGCTGTTGCAGTAACAGATGTTGCTGGTTCGCTGATGTTGCTGCTGCTGCAGTTATTGTTGTCGCTGGAGCTGCTGCTGCTGCTGCGGTTGTCGCTCTGCTCACCCTCGTTGTTGTTTGAGGCCAATGACGAGTTGTTTACAATTACAGTGGCCATCGACTAGAAAGCTCACGGGGGACAATAAATTGCGCATATCAAATCGATTCGAGAAGAGTCAAAGTAGGAAACAGAGAAACGAGAAAACGAAAAGAAGAAAGAAATCCGAAACAAGAGAGTAAGATAGACAGAGTTGTTTAGTAGTAAGTAAGTTAAGTTAAGTAGGAAAGTTCAAAGTAACAAGTGAGCAAGAAAAACGGTGGGGTTGGGTTTAGGTCTAGGGATGACTGGATGGTATGAATTGCTTATAGAACAATGCAATGGCTACACACACACGCATACACATATATGGACAACAGACTACAGAAACCAGTTAACAAAATCCGAACTCTACAAAAGCACTTGAAAACGGGTAGTGGGATAATAACTCATCAACTACGAGTGTCGAGTGTTTCGAGGGGAGATCTGGCTGAAGGAAAATTCGACTGTTCGCTGTCTAGTCTGGGGCTAGGTAGCTAGCTCTATTCGGCGGACTATCCTTCGTTTAATGGAAGTACCTAAGCCTGTCGACGCCTCACCTGAGAGTCCTCGGAGTCCTGACGCGTGTCCAACAACGTGTTCAGCGAGCTATTCACATCCTCATCGATGTCGATAGGTATCACGGCGGCGATGCCCTCGCGCTGGATCTGCTGCAGATGGTCCTCGGACTTGCTGGTGCGGAAACCAGCGGCATCACACTTCCGCACCACATGCCCGTTGTGTCTGCGCACCACCACTGCTCCGGCACCAGCTCCGCTGCTCGATTCCGGCGCTAGGGAGCTGGGCTCCGGGCTGGTGGGCACCGAGTTGGCCGTCTCCTTGTCGATCAGTGGCGTCGACAGTGAGATCGGAGAAGTTGGCACTGAGAAGGATGTCTCGTCCGGGCCCAAGCCGCCCGCCTCGCTCTTGACCGTGGTGGACGAAGATCCCGATCCTGAGCGACCGGCGCAGTCGACGGCATCACGATTTCGCTGCTGCTGGCGGGTGGCGGTACGCTGTTTGAGCGCCCGCAATCTCTGCTTGGCCGAACCGGAGCCCAACGAGTTGGTGGAGTAGTCCTCGTCACCGGCATCGTTCTCCTCGTCGTACGCATCATCATCGTCGTCGTCGTCCACCAGGCACTGCCGATCGCTGTCATCCTCATCGCCCCGACCCAGTCCACTCTGGTAGGTATCGATGTTGGTGATGTCGTAGTGCGTTTGGTCCTCCTCCCGCTCCTCCTCCACCTCCTCCTGCTCCTCCTCCAGCTCGTCCTCGTTTTGGTAGTATTCGTAGCGTTGCTGATTCTGCTGCTGGCGATAGCGATGCTGCTGTTGGCGGTGGCGCTGCTGCTTGTTGTCCTCCTCCAGGACGTACTCGCCCTCCTCGTCCTGCTCCAGCTCCTCGCACATCAGCAGTGTGTCGTTGGTCAGTGAATCCTTTCGGTTGTAGCTATTGTTAATGCTGTCTCGCTGCTGCTGCTGTTGTTGCTGCTGGTGAGGCTGTTGTTGCTGCTGCTGTTGTGGTTGTTTCCTCTGTTGCGCCTCGCGCTTCACCGAATCTGAGCTGGTGTTGGTGGGCGAGTCCACCGAGGAGGAGGAAGTGGGCGAGGACTCACCGGAGGCACGAGGTGCTAGGGCGCCATTGATACGCTGATTGACCAGGCGACTGGGCGAATCCCGAAGACTGTCCACCTGGAAAGGGAAAGGTTTTGGTTAATGCATCTCAGCTGATTAACAATTCCTTACCTTCTTGGCCTGGGCGGGCAGAGGATTGCTGGTCTGTGGTGTCCGGGACAAGTTAAGGATCAGGTCACCGGTCATCATGTAAGCCTCAAAGCGAGGCGCCTTCGCCGGCTGCGGTGGCGCCGAGTTCGGTTCCGGTTCGCGCTCCTGATCCCGATCCGTGAACCGCTGCCGGGTCACTGGACTGCCGCTGTAACTGTTCGAGTGCTGCAGCGACTGCGGCGGCAGCTGGGCGGTATGCCCGTTCCCGTTTCCGTTCGACGCCTTTGTCGGAATCTGCGAGGGGCGTGGCCGCTTATTCTGGGGCGAATGGAGGACGGGCACGGGCTTGGGAACGGCACACTTGGTCAGCGCCTGTGGAATGCGAGAGGGGCGGAAGGTGGGCGAGGTGGCTTCCCCGCCGCCACCTCCACCACCAGTGGGCGATGTCGGACCCACTATGCCCGTAATCGAGGTGGTAATGCTCGTCTCCACCACCTTAATCTTGGTGGAGCTGGCCGAGGAGTTGCGACTGTGGGTGTGCGTATGCGTGGCGGTGGTCGTGGTCGTGGTGGATCCACTCGCCAGCAGTGGCGATGAGTTCTGGCGCAGCGAGGGCAAGTGCGTGGGCGACTTGTAGCGCAGTCCACTCTGCGAGGGCGTGGTCGCCGCCCCCTTTCCACCGACGTTTGGCCGGTGATTTGGCGAGGAGTTGGTGCTGCTGCTGTGGTAGTCGTAGATGTTCGGCGACTCAATGTCCACATAGTGCGGACTCTGGGTGTTGGCCAGCTGCTCTTTGATTCGCGCCTTGAGCTTGGGATCTGATCGGAGAAATATAAGTATTAATTATCGATTTTACGAGATTTTTATTTAAAATGCAATGGTTGATTAATTCATTTTTAAATATGGTTTGTGATTTGTAAAACATTCTCTAATCAGTTTGTAATCTAGTAATTCTTTTTTTTTGTGTTTAAAAGGTTATGCATAAGTTCATAAAGCTAATTGACTTTTCCAATTGAAAAATACTAATATAAACTTATCTTTAAGTAAATATTTTTGGAAATATAGATACGCATTGGTTTATAACGGAGAAGTACGTTCCTACAAAAGTTATTAAAGCGTATTGAAATGTCTGATAAACTTTATAAGTTTAACTTCAAATGAATAAACTCCAAAAAATGTTAGCCAAATTTGTTAAAAATTACTCAAAATAAATTTAGATCTGTTTAAATGTAAAATTCCACACGCTTGTATGTATATGCATATGTGGTTTTGTGGTAAATGGTAAAGCGGTTCGCTTCAGTTTAGTTTGATTTGGTTCTAAACTGGTTTGGATCCTTGAGGAGTGATATACATTTTCACCTACCTCGCTTCAGCTCCAAGGTCACCAGCTGTTCCGACAGGCGCAGGCATTTGAGAACTGTTCAAAAATACGTTTCAGTTAATTATTTACAGCTTTCTTCCCCCATTAATCCCCGTGAGCACTCACCTTCCTTCGTTGTGTAGCGATGGACATCCGTTCCGTTGACTTTAAGGATGACATCCCCGGCCTCAACCTGCAAAAGAAGCCGAAGAATCCCATTTAGTAGGCATAGAATCACTGGCAGTGCCCCTCGATTATATTGACAACGCAAAGCCTATTGATTTTCCTTCGACTCGAGCTGCCTCTTTGTTATTATTATTCGCATGTTAGGCAGAGCTAAAACCCCGGCTGTCGGCACTTGTAAACTATTTTTAATTTTCTTCTCGATGGGCCCATCGCAACGCGCGTGGAAATGCGGAGGGAAAACAGCATGAAATCACAACGTGGGACGACATTGGCGCCTTATTTACTTGCTGACGTACGAGAGCAGTGGCAGAGAAGCTTTTTGGTGTCCGTGTCCGGGGTTGAGTGGTACGTGGAACCTTCACCTCCGGATGGCACTCATAGATTATTCAATAAATATGCTATGCCCTAGCCGTGGGGATTTTTGGATACGCGGCACGCGCGCCTCGTGGGTTCATGGAAAAGAGCCACACCACAACAAGAAGCTCAAATTACTTTTATACTATTATTGCATAATTAGTTCCACGGGCTTCCTGACTTTCCCCGGGCTTTTATTATAAATGCCCAGGATGGCGTGGTGCACATTTATATTGTACTAAGCTGGGTGTGTGCTTCCTTCGGAGACACTTGACGCGAATTGCGGGCGGCAATTAAAACTAAAAGTCGCACTAATTTATGCTCTCACTATATCGTTGCTATGGAAGCCACGATTTCTGTGTGGTCTGCAAGAGAGACGTCTGCATGGCCGAGAGAGCGAGAAATGGGGGGACAAATGGGGTAAGAGAGAGCGAGCGGCAAGCCCAGAAAACTTTGCAGCGAGAGAGTGGGTGCCATTGCCGCGGGCTGCGATGCAATTCAATTAAAACCGTGCTTAAATTAATTGTGCCGCCCAGAAAATGTCGACAAGCTGGGTTACATAACCCAACCCAAAAGTCAAGCCACCCCGTTTGCAATTTCTAGGCGAAAAGAAAGTCAAACCCGTAATGCAAATTTGATGTTTTCCCCCATGGCAGCATCTGCATAACACGACAAAGGAACTCTCCACTCTTTCGGCCACTTCGGAAACGTGTTCGCCGCCTTTTGATAACAAGCCGCGATTAATGGCTTACAGCGCCGAGGAAGCTCTCCCAGATTCGATTAGGCACTTCACCATCAACCAGCAGGTGCACACAGCTACGCGCATGCAACGAAATTGCTTTTGCATTTCACTTTCACGCTACGAAGGGGAGCAGCGAACGATAGCTGCGAGATGTGTTTACAGTGGAACCCCTGTAGCTCGAACTAAATACATTTGCAATTTATTAAGCTCATTTTAAGTATGCATAGTTATGTTCACATAGTAACAAGGCTTTAATTTGCATTTAAATTGAAAACCTTACAGAGCTTCAGTTGCTATACAAACAAATGTAGAGCATACTATTATTCAAATTTTAATTGAAATTAAGCAATGTGTAGTTATGCTGATGTCCCAGTAACTCATAAAAACCTCGGCTGTTTACAAGGTGATTAGCATACAAATAATAATTTTAAAAGAAATGAAGTTGTATCTAAGTGTGAGAGTTTCTTCTGAAATAATTTGAAATGTTTTAAAGTCCAAATTGGTTAGGATTCCCTAGATGTTTTAAAAAGTGACGTGTTTTAGAAAAGTTGGATTGGGGTAGGGAAATTCATATCTGTTAATATTTAAGTATTAGTAAATGCAATATAGATTTGAAGACATTCGTGTTGTAAAATTCCCTTTAAAGAGCTAGTTCAAGAAGATTCTTCTTCGGTAAGCTCGCCTGTATACTGGAATTGAGATGGTGGGCCCCCTGGGGCCCAAGTTGTTGAGTCGGGCAGGCAGTCAAGCTAGTCAAGCAACCAGCAACCGGCAAGCAACAACCAACAGCCAGCAGGCTGCACAGTTAAAAGTTAAATCAATCAGTTACACTCGGCTGCCGCCCTGTCCTCCGCCTGCACCCCTTGACGCCTCCACGCCCTCACTTGCATGTGACCCCTCTGTGACCCCTCTCTTCACCACTGCATCGCTGGCTGCTCAAATTGAAATTGGTTCGAATTGATTTGTTTTCCCATCCAACGACACCAATGACAATTGGGGAGAGAGGTTCTCCTGCCTTGCCTACGACCCATTCCATTCTAGGCGTATTTGGTCTGGTCGGCAGTCTTGTTTGTTATCCGCAATGTCATGCCCCTATTCCAAAGGAAAACAAAGTCAACTGGGCGTTGACGATACGACCACAAGAGGATAAGCTCACTTTGGGGGAGAAAAAACAGCCATCACAGAGATTGCTTCGCAATGAGATGTCCACACATTAAAGTTCCAAATAAATCTTTAAAATTTCAGTACCTATATACATTTATACCATTCTTGGTTTTGTTAGCTTCAATTCAAATACTGCGTTTGAGAGTGCTAATTATTACTATTACAAAAAATAATTCTCAATGGTTCTATACAAACAAGTTCCTGTTTTAATAAAGGGAATTTAGGGAAAATAAAAATCAAAATCATTTCTTAATTATGAAGAGGATGTATCAGTTTTACTTGGCAATAAAAACACACAACTCCTAAAAAAAATGTTTATGGGAATTCCCTTCAGGGAAAACGACATTAAAGAAAACCTTACCAAGAAATTCCTTGTCGTAATAATCGCTTTTAAAGCCATTAAGTTTGATAACACTCGGCTACCCGATGCTATTAAGCATTCACGTCACATTCGGCTTTCAATTACCGAGTACTTGAAGCCTAAATTAATGCCAAGTGAACAATGGCTTTTTTTTTGGGGTTCTCCTTGTGTATGTTTTGATTTTGGTTCAATGACGCTTTATTGACACGAACTAAACCAATATCAATTAACAATAGCAACAACAGCTCGCCCACGCGGTTGTGTGGAGGTAAACAAGGCGATTGATTGATTGTATTAGCGACTACGACGACCTAGTCAAGTACGGTTCCGTGCACTACCTTCACCGTTATACGGCTGTATATATATATATATATATATATGTAGGACGGACGTCTATTGCCGCAGAGTCGTTGACAGACTGCAGTAATAGGAAAACCCACTAACCTCTTTTTCGCCGGAGCCCACAAAATCAATGTTGGGGCAGGCAGGCAGGCAGATAAAAGGCAGAAAGCCATCCAGACCGCAAGTGTCGTCCACTTTTTCACGTGGGCGTCGCAAATGACGCACTCAACGGAAAAAATATTGAGACCCGCAGAAACCGAACCGTAGTCGGTAGACCCACAAGTGGCAAGGTGGATAGAGCCAGACACTGGGGACCTATGGCTCACTGTTATTGGACTAATGATTTTGCCACTTCTTTGGCTATTTGCATTCTACACGGCTTCCTCGGCTTTGTTTACTCGTTCTGTGTTTCATCACGGCACTTAGCGGTATAGGGTTTACATTAGGACATCAATCACACCCCCTATTATATGGAAAATGGGAAAAAACATCGAAGGAAAGCGGTGAGTTGGCAATTACACTAATTTTAGCTAATAATATATATAGATTCATGTGCTTGTTATGCAGTAGAGAAACATAATTTATATAGCATTTTCAAAAACATATGAAATATAATACTTTTGTAATTTCTGAAAGTAAATAAGCGAAATTCAAACAAATTCTTTAACTTCTAATTTAATACCATATAGTGTGTCCAGTAAATAAAAAACCACAAAGTTATTAAATTCCCCCAACACCAATTAACGACTTTGAATTATGGCACAAAGGGTTTCCCATCTAGCTCAATGCGGCGATATCTCTTATCGTATTTGCCAAATAAACATGTGCGAAGCCCCTGGACAATAAGATATCAAATAAATAAAAGCCCACAAGCAAATACCCATATACATAGCCCCATCAAGCTACCACCGAGCTGTTTTATTTATTTTGACGACCTTGCAGGCACATTCATTGTGGATTTCCTTTCATATTTGCACCAAATAAAAAGAGGGGGAGCAACAAATTAGCATGAATTGGTTTATTTCATTATCATGCTCCGGTGGGTGTTGTGTAATCGCGGGAATCGGAAGTCGGTGAATGGTCTGAATGGCGATTGCGATGCTATCGCTGCCCCGCTTAGCTAAATAATTCCGGTGATGCGAGTCGGTGTGGAACCCGACCCATTATGCTAATAAAGTGCGAACTTGCACAGAACTATGCCAATGGCTCAACTTGAGATTGTAGACGTGAATTGAGTGATTCACGCCCTGTCACCATAGACACATATACATTTATAGATGTGGGCTGGTTCGGGGTTGGGAAATAGTCTTAGCATTTTGCGAAACTAAACCTTTTTCGATGCGCTCTCTCCGGATTCTAGGGCAGGTTGTTTGCTGAATCTCTAACTGCCTAATTAAAACGCTTTCCATGTTAACGGACACAGATTTCACTGATGCTATGCCCTGCACTTTGTGTGGGCAAAGTATAGTCATTATATCGTAAGTAAATTTAAGATACTGTACATTTTAGATGCTTTAAAAGGGTATTCTATCCTGCTATTCCAAATCTTTCGTTTTAGAAAATCATCGTCAAGCTTTTAACAGTTTTTATTAGTTTTAACAGGAAAATTCTTTAGAAATACAACGTGCATCATGACTAAAATCAGAACGAATTATTGAGTTAAATGTAATTCAAGTAACAACATATTTCTGTCATATGGCAAGAGCCTTTGGTATATTGATATTTGAAGCTTCAGTCTAGCAAATAAGCTTTTATTTTTTAATTTCATTTGCACTCGGTCTGTCTTATGGTTCAAGGTCGAGTATCTACAACGTCACAAGTAATTTTATCGCAAGCTTAAAATCAATGATTTAGCCTGCTTTATTGCCCCCCTATTACTTTGTGTTTTCTGTAATGTAAATATCCGAAAAATTTGCGCACTTTCTATGCCGGAAAATCGAAATAGACGGGATGTTTGTGTGTGTCCGTGGAACCATGGAATTTACGGCTGTTGCGAGAGTGCGGCTCGTGCGGGATTTGCATTTGTGCGAAACGCGTAAAAATG